CATATCCATAGCACTCAGGTTTATGTTTATGTAAAGCTGCTTGGAGTTTTAAATGTCATGCACACATTTCTGATTTTTGGTTGGTTCTTGTTACTGAGACTTGGCAGGATTATAGTGCTTGTTCTTGAAAGTAGTTGTGTGGGGTTAACAAGGCAATTTTCATCCTACGCTGTGTGTGAGAGAGAGTTGAGTGAGTGAGTGAGTGTGTGTATACAGCTTTGAGTCCTAAAGTGACTCCTTTATCAAATACTTTTGAAGTGTTAAATCCCGCCTAAAGTTTGGAATGCCTCTAGGAATGTGTTTTGAACATTAGCAGAGCTCTCAGGCTGTCCTTGGACATTTGAGCTTTGTCTCCCTCTTTCCATGGACAATCTGTAATTGGAGCAACACATTTTATTTGTCAGGGGTTTCATAAAAATATGATTAATTATAAAAGATTACTTTGTCTATTGTGCCGTAAGTTAGACACCTGCGCTGGACGGATTTTTCAAATTCTGTTCTGCTCCCACCCACGACATTCAGGGTTTGTCCCGCTCCCACCCGCAAAAGCCAGCATAAAAGTAATCTTTATAGATTTTTTTCAGTACATCAAAGAAATTGACATGAAATGGTTCTGTAACATCTCCTAAGCTCCACAACAGCTCAGCATAAACACTCCTGATAAAAGATTGGTTATTTAGGCTAAGCATCAACATTCACAAACCACTGATATTTTTAACAGAACAGCAAGCCTGGCTGCTGCGTTCCTGGTTTGGCATGGCAGAATGCGAGCAGCACTTTCTTTATCACCACTAAAAGCTGACATCTCAGTTAATCGCAATCTCATAAAGCTCTGTTATATCACAATAAATGTATACACAATGAATCTTTCACAATGTCTACACTTCATGTGTTAAAATGAGAGTATTCGTGAGCACGCAATTTCAACACTGCGGTGAGTAGATTCTAACTTAATCACCTCTGATTGGACATTGCGTTCCAGAAATCAACAGCTGAGTCTGTGATTGGCTTAATTGCGCAACCCTTTAAACACGTGTTAGAAATAGAAACTATGCCTAGCTTGCGCATGTGAATCATTTTAATGTTAATATTAGTTGCTTTTTTTTGGTTTTGTGCAACAGATAAATAACAATTTATATGTTTTAGACACTTTATGTTTAGATAATTTCTATTTTGCGGGAGTCCCGCGAATCATTTTATTCTCCTGCATCCTGCACGCACGAGTCTGTTCCCACCCACACTCGCCCATCAAGAGTTGTCCCGCGCCGTACCCTGTTGCGTTGGGTCCCGCGGTACTCCCGCGGGAGTGCAGGTCTCTACCGTAAGTCATACATCTATTTAATTTATTTACTTTAAAACACATGGGGCCGTTACTCTTTAATGTGAGCCTGATGGTCAGAAAAGTTTTATGTTAAAAAATTGTTGTTGTGATTATTTATTAAAGCACCAAAGGTGCGATGGCACCTATTCTATCCGTTGGCGTTCTTCTTATTATTCTTCCGCTCTGAATGTCTATGGCAGCCCATAGAACCACTGTGGAAAAGTTATGAAATTTGGGACACAGAGGACAGTCTGATCTGTCACCATAGCAAATTTGGAATCTCTATCTCAATCCCTCTAGTGCCACCAACTGTCCAAAGTTGCACTTATGTTTATTGTGGCGGAACGGGGAAAAGGCGTAACTGGGAAAATGAAACCAAAACAATTGTCCTGACAGCCAGCGAATAGGAACGGGAGTCTAATTTGGGAAGGAAGTGATGTGGCTATATATATATATGTAGTGGAACAGAATCAAAGGATGGCGGGTTAGTGGAGAGTGGAGAAGGGAGAAGTCACGAGTGTCTAGAGTGGAAGTTTACCGGTTTCAGCTGAGCGCACACTCACGCACTCTGTAATGCTGGAGCGAGCGCCAGAGGGTTTTAAAGAGACCATTATCCGAGCGGCAGGACCAGCGCAGAGGCTTGTGAGGTTTCAGGAGCAGCAGGGAAGTGTCTTTACCTGGATGCCTTTTCCTTGGAGAAAATCCACCTCCATTCACGGTTTGAAAAAACTGTTTCCCCAAGTTCATGAGTGGCCGGTCGGATGGCTCATGGCTTCCTGTAACACACACCAGCACTCACCCAAAGTTCACCCACACCACATTCGCTCGCACATACCATACCGTACAACTCCCTTATGCGAGTATTTTCTTTTCCATCTTAAGATATTAATTCGTCTAACGGTCTGGGCGACTGGAATTAATCTTGTTTGTATTCCTTTGTTTTCTTCCCTCCTTTTTTATCGGTTTTGAATTGTAACTGAGAACGGACTATCGAAACTGCTGAGGTGAATGCAGAGTTAGACGGGAGTCTCGCAATACTACCGATTTATTGTATAGTTTGTTTTTTTTGACTGATGGATGTGCAATGTATGTTCACCTTCTTGTGAACTAATTCTTTGTTTTTTTTGTTTTTTTCTCTCTTGTGAAAAATACATACGTTCAACTGAACTGAAAACTTATTTCCTCTGTAAATGTATTTCCTGCTTTGCATTATATTCTCTGCTGGTGTGATTTTGTATGTAATGGGTGGTTTTGAACGGCTATCTGGGTTTAACTACTTTTGACAGGCTTATTCCTGTCTGGCGCCCGAACATAGGAGTTGGAAAAAATTTTTTTTTTTACTAAACGTGTTTACCTGGGTGCCGCCACCATTACATTATGCTAATAACTTTTGAACCGTAAATTTTAGACTGAAAATTATTTCACGCCGAGTCAAATGGAAACAAAAATAAAAAATTCTATTGGTCAAGATTTTTCGCATATTTTAATAGTTTGAAAAACCTACTTTCAAGCTCGTCCTAGACAGTTTGTCTGATTTTCACCAAAATTGTCTCAGATCATCTTCAGACCATGCTGGCAAAAAGTTATGGAATTCAAGTTTAGTCAAACCTTTCTCAAATAACACGCAAACAAATTTGACAGAGCACGCAAAAATGGATGTGAGGCTATATCTCAACGGTTTGGTGTATAGAGACCAAACTTGGTTTGTGTGATGGCCTGAGGCTACCTGCACAGTTTCTGCTCAGCTCCACCTAGTAGTCAGGAGATATAAAAAATGTCTCTGTTTGTTTATAACTTCTGAATAGTTTGAACAAAAATCACAAAACTCTTTAGATTCAGTGCAGCATGCCAAGTCGAACCATACCCAATTTTCCCATGTCGGCCATTTTGGCCGTCGGCCATTTTGAATTTTGTTGTGAAATGCTATTTTTACGAACTAATTTTACGAACGCATTGGCATATCGTTTCGAAACTCGGTATGTGTCTTTGGTACCATGTCCTGATGGTACTAGAAAACATATGAAGCATTGCCACCTTGTGGTCAAAAGTTATAATGAAATTACCAAAAATGCTAATAGCTTTTGAGCATATTAGCCTATTGTAATGAAACTGATCTCAATATATTCTTTGGGTCATGCCGAGAACATACCAATTTTGCCATAATCAGCTAAACTTCCTGTCCGACATTTTATGTTGAAAAAATCATCTTCAGACTGTGCTGACAAAAAGGTATGGATTTCTTGTTGATAGACAAAACCGTTATTGTATAAGCACCGCAACAAATTTGAAGCATGATGCCAAACTACGTCTGAGGCTGTATCTCTGCAAAGCTTTGACATATTGACACCAAACTTTTTGTGTGCCATTGTCACCTCACACAGAACACACCACATCGATTCGATAACAGCACCACCAATTGGTCAAAAGTGATAAGCCATTAAGTCATATTACTAGTGGAAGTATGTATGATTTTTCAGCCATTTTGACCACAATCATCTTAAAATGGCTTCAATTACTCATTAGTCTTGTACTTTTAGTCTTGTTCTTTTTTTGTTGGGTGATTGTGTCCAATCAGTCCATGCATTTGCCCTGATGGCTGCTCTGCCCGAGTGATCTTTAAGGGCCGGTGAGAGAGAGAATAGCACGTGCTCTCCCTGATCACTACGCTTACGTAACATTCTCTTCATGTGAGAGAATGAACCCAAAAGCTCTTAAGCACATTTTAAACTAGCTGAATATTCAATAGCCTTAACCACTGATCTGCTGTGTGTACATTCACCAGTTTACTATAAGAGGTGAAGTTTTTACCACTAAACAGTCTCTAAGCGGTACTGTGTTGTAACCATGTTTTTTTTCATATTTCTGAACGAGAGAAGAACGAGTGCATTGTATCTCTTTCCAAGAACCCAAAATGTCAAAACCTTGAAATGCTGAATAGCATTAATTAGTGGTGCCTGCCAAGGCATGCATCACTATTGCTATTGCTCATGCTTGAGGTTAGGGGTTTGTTAAAATCCCCAAACCTAAGCATGAAACCTTGTCACGTAACTCTTAACACTATTTGTGCTGTGGACATGGAGTTCTCAAATGATGCAGCTTGTTTTAGTGTGCCTCTCTGTGACTTAACATTTTTACCTGGCTATGATAAAACAAGTAATGTAAAATGTGATAATGTAAAAATTTTTGTTTAATCATTTAGTAGATAAACTACCATTCAAAAGTTTCAGCAAGGACGAATTAAATTGATCAAAAGTGACTGTAAAGACTGTAAACATTTATAATGTTACAAAAGATTTCTATTTCAAATAAATACTGTACTTTTGAAGCTTCTATTCATCAAAGAATCCTGAAAAAAATTGTAGCACTGTTTCCACAAAAATATGAAGCAGCACAACTGTTTTCAAGATAAATAATAATAAGAAACACACTTGCTGTCAAATAGCAGATTGGTAGCAACCACTCAAAATACTTCAGCATAATTCTTCAGAATAATGTATGTATTTGACAATTAATATTACTAATTAACATCAGTCATCATATGTGGAATTGTTGTGATTCTAAGCTGAAGTAAATGTTTGGTTAATGTTCATTAGAAAAATAAACATTTGAAACCACAACTTTTACAAACAAAAGCTTCTACCAGGTCTGAATGAGTACAATGATGTGTGTGTTTATACAGGAGCACAGCAGCAGCAGCAGTTCCATTGGAAAGATTGAGCCCATTTCTCCTGTGAGCCCAGTGCCCATGGAGCCCGACCTGGACATGGTTCCCTCTCGCCTCTCCAAAGAGGAGCTAATCCAGAACATGGACCGCGTGGATCGGGAGATCACCATGGTGGAGCAGCAGATCTGTAAACTGCGTAAAAAACAGGTAACCTTCTCCACATTTTGCCTATTTATTTTGAACCCTAGCATAAAGGATCCTAGAATGCATTTTTGTTTTATTTCAGGAAAAGTTGGCCTTCTAAAATAAGCACCAGGACAGTTTGCAAAGCTTTTTATTTAGGTGAAGGCAAGGATTTCTTTCGAAGTACAACTTTCAGAGCTGCAATAAGTAGATGCTTTTCACCTACAGTGCAGTTAGTGTTATGTAATCTGGACACTCTAGTGTAGCAGCAATAGTAGATGAGTGTGTGCGGAGTGGAGTTGTGATGATTGTGTGGTTATTGCCTCAGCAGGCCACACAGCTACAAACACACTTCCTGTCTTTCCTCTCGGTCTCCTTCCCTCTCTCGGTTTCCTCTCCCTCTCTTTTTTTTTCTTGCCAGTGCCATTACTCAGTGGTCTACTTCAAGTGTTAATGCAGCACTATAATTTTAGGTCTCTTATTTCAGTGGAATAATTGCATCAAGTATATTCGCCTATTTTATGTCTTTTAATTTGCACAATAGTAACTGTTTGTATTACAATAATATTTTTTAAAGGTTTAAAGAATTAGAATGTATTCTCAGATATTTCTAGTCATGCTTATTGCAGAAAATATATAAGCAGACCATGTCTTCTTGTAAAACAGACCCCCTAGTTCACTTGAGGTTTTGGACCGTGTCCAAACCGCTGCTCAATAAATCGAAGCCACCTGTGCTCCATGGGCTAGTCCATTGAGGGAGTAATGGAGGATTGGAGAGGGAGTGAAACAGCTTTGAGTCTGATTGGTTGTAGAAGTACAGTCATGCTACCAAGAAAAATGAACCGCTCCTCATCTGCCCTTCAACCCCATACTGTTTTCTTCTGAAAGATTTGGCATCTATTTTCAGTGAGGTAACAGACCCCAACCATCGCTCTCCTCTCCCCTTAGGTTTCCTCTAAGCATTAAAACATCTGGTGCAATTAAATGGTACGGTAAACTCTAACGTAAAGCGAGGGAGTGATGGAGAGAAGAGAGAAGAAGTGAGAATATCAGGTTACTGTGTGTTTGACTGTCTGCGAGGGCGGTGGGATGGCTCGTTTATTTTCTTTAACTCAGGACACACACAGTCTTGATCCTGCACTAGAGCTGATCCATATGAGTTTGGGCTTATGTTTGCAAGACGGAGGCCCCTTTCAGCATTTTATTGGAGCCAGGGCCTCTGCGTTTCTTTGCGCATCTGTGTATAAGATGTGAAATTATTGTTGATCATCAATCTTTGACTATTAAGTTGTCTCGCTGACTCTCTTTGCTAAAGCATTAGTGCTTCTCAGCCAATCAGAGCTTGTCTGATATTAGCAGTGCTTCTGATGTGGGGATAATGTTAATATTAGCTCACGTAATATTGCATTCTTGTTGTGTCTGGCTGCTTATTGTAGCAGGGTTGCATTAGTCCTCTTTCATCAGTAAAAATAAGAGTTTCAATATAGTTCTTATTTTTATGTTTTAATCTTTGCCACTGTTGATTTATAGGAGTCAGGATTGTTAGGAAGGTCTTTCATGCTCTGTATTTTTTTTTTTAGCAACAGCTGGAGGAAGAAGCTGCAAAACCCCAGGAGCCAGAGCGCACCATCTCACCTCCACCCAGTGAAGCCAAACACCGCAGCCTTGTCCAGATCATCTATGATGAAAACAGGGTGAGAACAAAAAACACCAGGGATTCACGATATTGGATTTTTGCCGATATCGGATATGCCGATTAGTGGTCGACCGATATTGTTTTTTTGACAGTCGATGCCGATGCCAATATCTTGGAAAGCAGGGTGACTGATGGCCGATATAAAGCCGATATAATTTTATTTATTTTAATTAATATTTAAGAAATTAAATAATTTGAAAATGGATAAAAAAATAAATGTGTAAAATAAACATACTTGTACTTTAAATGACAAAAGTATTTTTCACAAATAAATAAATAATTAATAAAAATATAATTAAAAAGGAAGTAAACACTGAAACCAACATGGCATTCTTTATTTATTTTTTCAAATAAAGTCAAGGTAACACTCATTTTACATACAGCACACAGTGAAAATGACATGAATATGACATTGGGCAAAAGCATGAAGCGCAGCATAATTTGAAATCATGAGTTTAAAGTTTGTCGATCGCGCGTCTCCAGTGAAGGAGAACTTTCCTCCTGTCCGTATTCAATTCGCACGGACCTACCATTACACAGAGAACACGCGATCATGCAGGATACAAATGCACACTTCACACGATCTCACAGCTGGATTTGACTAAGTTTGCAAGATTTTTAAAATTAAATGTTCATTAGTCATTCAAAGATTTGTTTAAATTATATAAATCCATATTTGCTGAATGCTGACTGCAAACGAGAAAGTATTATAATGTTTGCCTTTATTACTAATAATATAAAAGCAATCGTTATACTTTTTTTTATACATTTTAATTCCTTAGTTCTAATACGGACAGAAATCTGTCTAATAATCAGAAAGAACTGTTAAACAGTCAACGACGACAGCGAACAAGGAGAATGTGAACACTGTGTGCGCAGGTGCTGCCGTTCTCAGCGCCGTCAAAATTAAAAGTCCGCCTCGAACGCATCTGCCAAACAGAAAAACTTATCGGCCAATGCCGATATATCGGCCAACCACTAATGCGGATCATTTTCAGCTCATTTTGGCCGATAGCCAAATATATAATTATTTTTCATTTTGGTTAGTTTTTAAAGTGCCCCTACTATGGATTTTTGAAAATTACCTTTCATGCAGTGTGTAACACAGCTCTAAGTGAATGAAAACATACTGCAAAGTTTTAAATCTAAAAGTGCACAGTGTATAAAGTTATTGTCTCTCAAAAGAAAGAGTCGACTCTGAATAATTGAAACGAGTCGTTTTAAAACGAACCCCAATCATACCAATCACCGCAGATTAGCGTCACGTAAAGAAGGGGTTTGGAAAAATGGATTGTTGAGCGAATCGTTTGGGAGTCGTTGTGCAAGTAAGGTAAAAAATAAATGCATATTATAAGACAATGAAAGTGTTTTTTGACCTTGCATGCATGTCAACCTGTTGTTGGGGACTCCACAAAACCAAAATATGAACCTTTCATTACCCATTATAGGGACAGGAACTTATTTGTTAGAATTAAATAAACAATAATACAATTATTTTATAATGACAGCACATTGAAGATTTGAAAAAAACTATAAATAAACTATATATTAATCACTGCATTTTCCCCCCCAGAAAGATGCAGTGGTAACATTAACATTTTATTTTA